AGCAGTAGAGAGGCCCATGGCGATGGATGTTCAGGCCTTAGCCAGTCAGTTTGTGAGATTGGATATTTCTGAGCTGAGTCGTGTATTGTCTTGTGTGGTCTCCCGGTCTTCTCTTTATGATCGTATCAGGGAGCGCCAATATGATGACCCCCATCTGCTTGTCCTTAAGGACACAGTTCAACACGGTGATGCTAAGGAGGTTACTACTGGGGACGATGGTGCATAGAGAATGCAGGGCAGGCTATGTGTGCCTAATATGGATGGTTTGCGTGAGTTGATTCTTCAGGAGGCTCATAGCTCACGGTACTCTATTCATCCGGGTGCTGCGAAGATGTATCAGGACTTGAGGCAGCATTATTGGTGGTGTAGGATGACGAAGGACATAGTAGAGTATGTTGCTCGGTGTGTAAATTGCTAGCAGGTGAAGTATAAGCATCATCGACCGGGTGAATTGCTTCAGAAGTTAGAGATTTCGGAGTGGAAATGGGAGCGGATCACCATGGATTTCGTTGTTGAACTCCCACAAACTCAGCGGAAGTTTGATGCAGTTTGGGTGATTGTAGATAGGCTGACCAAGTTAGCTCATTTCCTTCCTGTGATGACTACCTATTCTTTCGAGCAGGTGGCTCGAGTTTATATCCGCGAGATTGTCAGACTTCATGGCGTGCCGGTACCTATCATCTTTGACGGGGGCACGCAGTTTACATCACGGTTTTGGAGAGCCGTACAACATGAGTTGGGTACTCGGGTGGAGTTGAGCACAGCATTTCACCCCTAGACGGACGGATAGTCCGAGCGATCTATTTATATTCTTGAGGATATGCTCCCTGTGTTTGTGATGGAGTTTGGAGGTTCTTGGGACTAGTTCTTGCCACTTGCGGAGTTTGCCTACAACAACAGTTATCAGTCTAGCATTCAGATGTCACCGTATGAGGCTCTGAATGGTAGGCGGTGTCGGTCCCTAGTGGATTGGTTCGAGCTAGGCGAGGCTAGATTATTGGGCATAAACTTGTTTCGGGATGCTTTGGAGAAGGTTAAGGTGATTCAGGATAGACTTCGCATAGCCTAGTCTAGACAAAAGAATTATGCGGATCAAAAGGTTCCCGATGTTTCATTTATGGTTGGAGAGCGTGTCTTGCTTCGGGTTTCGCCTATGAAGGGCGTTATGAGGTTCGAAAAGAGGGGAAAGTTGAGCCCAAGGTTTATTGATCCTTTTGAGGTGTCGTGTTGGGGAGGTTTCTTATGAGCTTGCCTTACCTCCCAGCCTAGCAGGAGTTCATCCGGTATTTTATGTTTCGATGCTCGGGAGGTATCACAGTGATCCGTCTCACGTGTTGGGTTTCAGCTCAGTCCAGTTGGACAAAGATCTACCTTATGTTGAGGAGCCAGTGACTATTTTGGACATGCAGATTCGAAAGCTAAGGTCAAAGAACATTGCATCAGTAAAGATTCAGTGGCAGGATCAGCCGGTCGAGGAGGCGACTTGGGAGACTGAGCAGGATATGCGTAGCTGTTATCCTCATATTTTCACCACTTCAGGTATGTCTCTATGCTCGTTCGAGGATGAACGAATGTTTTAAGAGGGGGAGGATGTAACGACCGTACCGGTCGTTTTGAGAATTTATGCCTCGATCCCCTATTAACTACTTCCCCCGTATCTTTTTCTACTATTGTGACTTTCCGGGGTGATTCGTTCTGACTTTCGGAGTGTTTTGGGACACTAAGTCCCTAAATGAGAGCTTATGTCTTAGAATTTGGACCATGGTCGGAACAGTGTGAAGACGGCTCCGAAATTGAGTTCCATCGATTCCGTTAGCTCCGTTGGATAATTTTGGAATTAGGGGGGTGTCCGGATGCTGTTTTGGAGATCTGTAGTTTATTTAGGCTTGAAATGGTGAAAGTCGAATTTCTGAGTTTTGGGCCGGTAATGGAATTTTTGATATCGAGGTCGGAATCCGATTTCGGAAGTTGGAATAGGTCAGTAGTGTTGAATATGACTTGTGTGCAAAATTTAGGGTAAATCGGACGTGGTTTGATAGGTTTCGGCATCGGTCGTGGAAATTTGAAGTTTCAAGTTCATTAAGTTTGGATTGGAGGGGGATTTGTATTTTTAGCGTTGTTTGAGGTGATTTGAGGGCTTGACTAAGTTTGTATGATGTTTTAGGATTGGTTGGTATGTTTGGTTGAGGTTCCGGGGGCCTCGGGTGAGTTTCGGGTGCTTAACGGATTGGTTTGGGAGTTATGCAAATTGCGGAAGTTGCTGCACCTAGTGTTTTCGCACGTGTGCATTTTGGACCACGGGTGCGCAGCCGCAGAAGCGGCTAAGGAATCACAAAAGCGTAATTTGGCCTAGACCAGCTAGGTCCGCAAATGCGGTAAGGAATCCGCAGAAGCGGAGGGCAGAAGCTGTTAGGGATCGCAGGAGCGGGCTCGCAGGTCGGCCCAGTGCTCTCAGATGCGGTCCCAACCCACTTTAAGTGATTTCCGCACCTACGATGGAATTCCAGCAGGTGCAGCGCCGCAGGTGCGAAGAAGGGCCCATAGGTGCGTTTTGTCTAGCAGAAAAAGAGAGAATTCGAGGGTTTGGTATTTATTCCATAAAATTCGATTTTGAGCTCGGAGGAAGGCGATTTTTCGAGAGTGTTTCAGAGGAAATCATTGGGTAACAATTCCTAATCCTATTTTGATCATATTTCATTAATCCATAGTTGTTTTCTTCATTAAATTAAGGAATGTGAGTAAGGAAGTTGGGAAATTGGGGGAAAAGTTCCCAAACCAAAAATCTTAGATTTGAGTGGATTTAGGCGTCGGATTTGGATGATTTTTGCACGAGTGATCTCGCGAGTGAATGGGTGTTCATAATTTGTAACTTTTACCCGATTCCGGAACGTGGGCCCGGGGATGATTTTTGGGCGTTTTTCTATTTTCTTGCCTTAGCTTTGATTTCATTAGCTTAATTAGTTGTTTGTAGCTATATTTATGTTATGTTATTGATTTGATTAGATTTGGGCCACTCGGAGTTGGATACTCGTGGCAAGAGCGTGATTTCGGATTGATTTGAGCTTGGTTCGAGGTAAGTGGCTTGCCTAACCTTGTGTGGGGGAACTCCCCTTAGGATTTGGTACTGTTTGATATATGAGCGTCGTGTACGTGAGGTGACGAGTGCGTATATGGGGTATTTGTTGAAAAATCCTATTTCCATTAAGCAAATATTTGTTTTTCCTTTAATTGAGCAACACTAGTATATGTAACTATCATGTTTAGCTTAGGAAAGCATGCCTACGTGCCTTTACCGTCTTGACTGCGTTAACTGCCTATCTGAACTCTATGCAGCATGTTTTAGTAAAATTTTCCTGTTCTTCCTTGACTCGGGCTTAGCCTAAATTGTGGTTTCTTGTTGTAATTGTTATCTCCATTTGGTTGAGCTGCATATTTACTTTGGGACTACGGAACGGTATTCCGGGAGATCACCTATATTGCATGTTTACTTTGGACAACGGAACGGTATTCCAGGAGATCCCCTGCACATTTACATTTGGGACTACGGTATGGTATCCCGAGAGATACCCTACACATTTACGTTTGGGACTATGGGACGGTATCCCGGGAGATCCCCTGTTGTTATCTTTGTGTACTGAGCTGTTGTTGTGATTTCATTCTCGTTAAATTTTTAGTACTTATCTTTACTGCAATATTTCATTCTATCTTATTTTATTATATATATACCAGTAGGGCCCGGACCTAATCTTGTCACTACTCGACCGAGGTTAGGCTTGGCACTTACTGGTACCGTTGTGGTGTACTCATGCCCTTTCCTGCACATGTTTTTTGCGTGCAGATCCAGGTACCTCACATCACTTGCATTACTAGTGAGGTGAGACGACTGTAGAGACTTCAAGGTATATCTGTCGCGTCCGCGGACCTAGGAATCCCTATCTACTCTTCCTCAAGTTAAAGACTTCTCGTATTTTCTTCGTTGATAGATTCTGGAGTTTAGAATCACTGTTTTCTTTCTGTAGCTTGTAACTTATGACATTCCGGGTTTTGGGAGAGTTTAAGTACTTCCGAAAGTGATTATTGTAAATGCCGAGCGGCATCTCTTTTCCTTGTTTATTTACCTGTTAGTGATAGCTTTTATGTTTTCGTTCCTTTTTCCGCAAGGTTAGGCTTACCTAGTCGTAGGGACTAGGTGCCGTCACGAGGGTTCACGGGGGGAGAACTTAGGTCGTAACACAAACTCAACATTTTCTTTCTTAAATTGTTACTTTTCTTGTTGATGTAGTGGTGCAAATTCTTCCATTTGCAGAATCTAAAAAATGAAGAAGTGACATTGTCTTTTAAAATCGGATTTGGATTAGTAGGGTTTAAAATTGAGGCAAATAAATCAAAACCTAGGTTTATGGTAGTTTTTTCTTTTTAATTTAGCAAGGGTTTATATTTAGCCTAATAGCACGGTAACACATGGATAACCATTAAATTTTTCTATTTCTTTTAGATAAGTCCATTAGTAATAAGGGCATAATTGAGCCACTCAGATAACGATGAGGGTATTTTTGGCTCAATAGGTGGATGAAGGTCATTTTTGTACCAAATCGAATCGTCTAGGGGCAGTTTTGGCCCTTTCCCGTATTATGAATGAAGCTGGCGTGTCAACGAAGACTAATCTGCTTTCACTGATGCACTCACTCTTCTATATAGGTAGAATGTGACCTAAAATTAGCCTAGTCATCAACACAGTATTGTTTTCCCGAAATAAAAAGAAACTATAATTAGCAATACTCATCTTGAGAAAACTATCAATCGAACCTCACGTTTATTAACCCAATTACTTTATGTAGACATTTTAACATTATTCTTAAAGTAACTACGCTTTAGATACTGACATAAATTTTCTTTGGTAAGTAAAGAAGAATTTTTTACCACAAAACTGACATACATTATGTAAACATTATATGACATTAAGCTTAAAGCAATCTGCATTGCACTTGTTAACAAACAGAAAATCCGAAACAGGAGGCTAAAGAGTCATGAGTTGTTTCGGAGTGCATTGTTGCCTGGAAGAAGAAAGAGACGATTGGGAACTCATATGAGTCAGGGCGTTCTACCATAACCAAGGGCGTATTCAGCTTTAAGGTTATGGGTTCCGTGAACCCAATAGCTTTTGTGCAAATCCTGTATTTGTATTAAAAAATTGACTAAATATCTATAAGTTGTTTACTGGGAACCCAATTATTATTGTATAATATATAACTCGAGGTCGTTACAAAAACCCATAAACTTCAAAAATCCTGGATCTGCCTCTGACCATAACAACGGTTGAAAAGTCTTCATCTATCCTTTGAACTTCCCGCCTAATGATTGATCGAGGAAGTAATGTTAGTGGATCCATTGGACGTTCCAAACTTAACTCCCAAGTCAAACTTAGCCGCAAATGCTAAAGTTGACTGAAGAGCCTTTTGAATTGAGCTTGGTTGTGTATTTGCAAGGAACGGTGTCTTTGAGGAGCTAGCATTACCCACGCTGCACTTTTGTGCAGACTGATGATTTAAAGACTGCCCAGCTGGAAATAGGGAACTCGACTGCCTAAACGGCATCTCGTCGCAAGCTTCTTCTGCTGCACTTGTTCTCCTTTGCATGGGCGATGAAGCACGGTTGAACTCATTAGGACGCGAGCTGTCTTGTGCTGCTTTCTCCGCTGAGAGGAAGCTTATACCCCGAGGTGCAGAAGCATGGGGAGTTCTAGTCGACATTTGATTCATGCTCCATAACGACGCACTTAGGTTGGCTTGATTATCGTCCTTGACACTGCCATCCCTCTTGGCACATGTTGCAGCTTCTTTACTATTGTTCATGCCACCAGGCAGCAACTTCTTAACTCCATAATCCATATTAAACAAGCCTGAATATGTGTCGCCACTGGGCTCAGCTGAAGGTGCTTGACCAAAGGACAGGAAGTTTATTCCTTGTGGTGTCCTCGTGGAAACTCCTTTAATTAACCCATTTGGCTTCTGAACATTATTTGACTTACTATGAATCATTTGACAGCTAAGTTTTCCAACATCATCTGCCTTGGAAGATAACCCAGCCTTTTCATGCTTTCTGGCATCACCTTGCAAAGACTTGCCATGAGATAAGAACATTACACCTTTAGGTGTACGTGCAGCTGGCTTTTGCACAGGCTCTAATACAGCCCGCTCAGCGCGCTTACCAGGAACAAGCCCAGCTGAACCAGATGAGGAGTTAACGTCTTTATGTGCTACCCCATATGTGTTTATTTGCATCAAAGAGTTCGAGTTACTTGGAGCTGATGGTGACATCAGCTCAAGGTTTGAAGCAGTAGGACTTGTCACTGCTGCTATCTTATCAGTTATCTGAGACATGCCAGTGAGACAAGAAGTTAAATACCTTGAGACACAGAGGAAGAAGCCCTCCAAAGAGGTAAGAAAATGAAAATTTTTGACCTAAAAAACTAGATAACATGAATAGCGGGCAGGAACATACCTCATGTGAAAATAAACAATCAGCACCTCTGCTGCAAAACCCGTTGGATGCATAGTTATTGCACGGATACTTGGAGAGTTGATGATCAAATGGGCAATCATCACCTTTCATGCAAGACTGACGTGCAAAATGACAACATGGCTGAAGAAAAAAAGATATTTACAAAAATTAGAAGCCAGAACAGGCTAGAAGCATGGATATTATTCCACATGATAGAAATAAATACTTGTAAAAGCAACAGTGAGTAAAGGTAAGGGGGTATTAAAATATTGTTTCTTTTCTGATCAATTTGATAGTGCAGCAAGTAACAAACCATAGATTGGAACTTAAACAAGCACACGAGATTTTTTCTTTGACATTATGAAAGCAAGCAGTAGCCTCAAACTGCTGCAAACATTTTATGCCTTGATGTGTTGCCTTCTCAATAAGAATCTAAGCATATAGTAGACATAAAATAGATACTCAGTTCTATCTCTATAAGCTGAAACTGTTCTGTGCCTATCCTACACAGACTAATTTTAATCCACAAGAAAGATATAATATATGGAATTTAAAGCATAGCCTAAAATGTCGAATATAGTTTTACATTGTAAGTAAGGTTCTTTTCCTCCCGTTCCCTGCCCTCCCCGCCCCCTTCCCTTTTAAGTTGTTAATAATATCCAGACTGCAAAGAGCATATAAAAGTTTACAGGTTTGACCCTCATGAATATTTCTAGTTCTGTGTCTCATTATGACAAAGAAATTGATAGCAAAAAAGGTGTCAGCAAATGGTGCTGATTGAAGTGCTAATAAACATTCAAACTCACCTGAGTGCTATTTCAAATAGGCTATAGCAATTCTCAACTAGGAAACAAGGTATTAATGCCACAATTTCACATCAAAGACTTCAAATCTCCTAACGTGCCGACAGCTTACAACAATATGATAGAACAAAATAAAAGAAGCATAAGCAGACCTTTGACTTTGTCAAGGGGGTGGTATCATGAGAGAATTTGCACTTCTCACCCTGTCAAAAGAAAAATGAACAAGGTTAAATCTCTAAAACATTGAAAGATCTGCTAAATTGAATTGCATTTTTTTATATGAAATTTTAAATTACCTCTGAGCATCTTCCTTTGAGATAATGGCGGCAATATGTCACAACTTTTGGTTTCACCACTGGTGGAAGCTTCAGCCTTTTAACTCCAAGCTTCCTGTTCTTTTCAGCTCGTTTAATTCTTTCTTTGGCCTACAGAATATATTAGATTCTTTAAATAAAGACACATACTAAAGAATGAGCAACTTGATCCTACGAATCAGAGCATAAGCATATTACATTACCAGATTTAACATTCTTCTGTTAGAGAAGGGTAAAGGAAGATAAACTCATTTACAAATAAATGAAAATGAAGGGAGAATGAGAGACACCTTTTTCTTTGCTCTCTTTTCCTTGGTTAAAGGACCTCTCTTCTTTTTCTTTTTACCGATATCAGCATCCTGCCACAAGATGAACAGAATCAAATATAGCGATATTTGCAGCTGATGAGAAACATAGAAGGCGAGACTGCATGTCAGAAAAACTGCAAACTATACTTTATCCATCTATACCATCGTACTGACTTGCAGACACAAATACGACTTTGAATGTTCAATTCAGAGGCTATCAGAATATAAATATTTCAATAACCCAATTTCTACTTTGTCCATTCCCTTCCCTCCTCAGCTCAAGCAAGATCATCAGATAATGCACTACGTACAAAGTATGCAGATGCGGCATGCCAGCATCAGTAACTTTAGAAACCTGCTAAAGTCCTACTACCATTTCCTTCTTTCCTTTTTCAGGAGGAGAAAGGGAGGAGAGTGAATTAGCGTCGTGTCTTGATGATTTTGATAGAAGTCAACAAGCATGGCAAATGGTATGGATATTCTATGCATTTACGAACACTAACTAGAGGTTCAGCTTTCTTTTGTTGAATTTGGGAATGTCTATAATAGGGAATAGTCACACCAAAAGTGCAGATGGGCATATGTGAAGTTTATCTCTTTGAAACAGCAAGTGAATTCTGTTTACTTGGATCAATAGCAGATCGGAAGAGCTTCATAGAAGCGTGAGAATGTACCGAGTCCAAGACAAGTAAGATTGCTGGACACTTATTGCACTAGCCATATCTAGCGACACTGACAACGTTTCATCTGATTATGCGAGAGAAGTCAAAATATTCCTAAGAAGCCATTCACCTATTGGATTCTAACACTGGGCAAACTGAAAAGAATCCGAATTAACCAGAACAGACATGAAAGTTCCACATAGTGTAAAGTGCAATAGTTAGAATGTAAATTAAGTGCTACAGTAAAAGATTGAAGGGAGTGATCATACCTCTGCAGCATCTATTAAGTGTTTGTTTTCTTTTGCCTTTTCTGCGGAGGTTGCGCCAAATTGGAAACCAGCAGGATGATCTAACTTCATGTCTCCACCAACTTGTTTAGCAACATTCCCACTATCCAAAATGCTGTCATACACACAGACCTTTCTGGTCTCAACATCCTTTGAGCAAAAAACTTTTTCAACATATTCTTTCGTCTCTTCTCCAAATTTTCTTATGAATTTTCCCCCCAAAGAGGTGTAATCCTCATCAACTGCATCAATGGATGAAGAGGCATATGCCTCCCTTTTTTGTGGTGGATTATCGCGAGCATCAAAAGCAAAATCTTCTCGCTCAACAATGTCAGCAGGATACTTCTCTGCTTCAACCTTCTTCTCATCCCGAACATCATTAACTATGTCATAATCTGATTCATCAAAAACCATAAAATCCACAGAAACTTCCCCTTCCTCTATTTCTTCACCCATGGGAACATGGACGGACAAATCTGTTGCTCCAGCAGAAGATATCAAAGTTTCCAATTCCATCTCTTTTAGACGCAAGCCATGCTCCATTTCTTCCGTCAAATGTGTCTCAGGAACAGGGATTTCCTCTCCAGAAACCTCTGCAGGTTGTGACAACTCAGCAACTGTATCCGCACCAAAACATGACTCTATAGCTGCACAGACATCATCAATGCTGAGTTCTAATTCTACCGGTCCGACAGGATCAGACTCCTTCACTTCCGATTCATGAGTGCTACACCTATTCCCAGGTTCCTCGACCATTTGATCGTTAAAACTATGAGTTTTGTCTACCAAACGATTCATATCATCAATATCATTTGTTCTAGCATGGCCTCTGTCGCCTTGTATTGCATCACTTGTACGATTTGAGAGATCTAAATCTACTTCCATTGGTGCACTGGTAAAATCTCTGTATCCAGAACGAGAGCTCCCTTCATTTCCATCATCCGAACCCTGTTGCACTACCAGATTGTCAGACTCCTTATGAGCAGGACCATTAACTAACAAATTATCAGACCTGATGAGATGATGATCAACCAATTCTTCGACTTCATTCTCTTTTCCCAATTTACTGCCATTGTCATCTATACAAACATCTTTGAGAAATTAAAAAATGGCTTTGTTAATACCAACATGTTACTATAAGTATAACTTGTATTTAGTATCTTCTCCAAAATTGAAGTCATGTCATAATTAAAAATTAGCGTCTTGAACCATAGTTGTGCATATAGATTGTACATGTGTAATCACATGATTATCAAAAGCATACATAGCAGAACACTAACACACATTGAGATACATCTGTTGCATGTAAGATACACACAAAAAAAAAAATATATGTTATATATATAAAAGACAATCACAATCGGTCATTCGACTTTATTGCCATTTCAAATTCGAACAACCTAAACTTAAGGCATAGGGATGGCTGAGTGATTACCAAAAAAAATAAAAGGAACCTACTAATAGTCATGCAACCACATTGATAAACACATAAACTTATACTCTGAGCTCTATTTTCTGTTAATTAAGGCAAAGAGAATATAAGTTTAGTAATTTTACCTGGTTTTTGTATCTCAGTAGTAGAGTCGGTGGTGGGGCAATTATAGGATAGAATCTGAAGGAGTGTAGTGTAGGTTTGGCTCATTAGGGGTCGTTGGCGATGAGGAGGGAAAGGGAAAGGGTTTTGCAAGGGATTTAGGGCGCCGATATGCGAATTCTCCATTGTTGTTTCTGAAAGGAAGGTCGAAAAGTTTTGAGAAAATCGATTTGAAATTCGTCGGAATTTATGGAGTCGTCGTGAAATTGTGGCGGCTTAACTATGGTGAGAAAGGGATTAGTTTTTGATTGTACATTTCAGCCCTCCTACTTTTTAGTTTTGTGACATAAGTCCCTTCAACTTCTAATAAGTGACAACCTTGTGCAAATGTTTTCTTCTTTTCAGTTCTCATACAAATTAACCGATCATAGCCACAAGAAAAAGCGCACACGCGCACACACTTTTATAAAAGGACGAGAGTAAATAACTTCTATCTTTTCTTCTTCAGACTCGTCTTTCCCATTTTGACTAATCTCTGTTTTTTTTTAATATCAAATATACCACTAAGTTGGTTGCTTAGTGGTGTTTTTTATTAATAATATCCAAATGAAAATACAAAATGCCAGGAGGTCTCACAAAATAAAGGAAATTACAAAAGAGGATACATCAAACATATTACCAAAGCTAAGTATTATACTCAACTTTGGTAGTACATAATGAACTATGTGTTAGTAATTTGTATTTGTAAAACAATTCTGGAGAAAATAAAATAACATAAACAGAAATGTAAACGAAATTAAAAAAAAGCCAATTCGAGCCCACTGAATTTACAGTGTTTCTTTAAGGAATTTAATCCCCTCCTAGTACCCAAGGTTATGGATTATTTCCTCTCAGGATAGAACGAATTACACACTGGTGTAGTGGTACTTCAAACTCCAGTGTTTCAGCGAACACAAAGTTCGGTAGCAAATCACACTTACTGTTGCTTTCTTTGAAGTTAAAATATGCAGAAGAAAGGAGAAGAACTCAAAAAATTCGTATGGAAAATCTGAGAGCATGGATTTGTATTTATAGCCAAAGTTGGGCTGAAATATGAAGAGGTGCAACTCTTCAGAATGGCTATTTTTGCAAAACAGCCAAAGAATAAATGCCATAACATTTGGCTATTTACTCAACAATAAAGAGAGAAAATTGAAGGGTAGTTAATTTTCTATTACAAAAACAGAAAACCGAAAATTGGATAACTAAATTGGTTTAAAATTAATATTTTGTTATTAAACCAAATATTTAATAACATTTCTGTTAATATTTATATTTACTATTAACAAATAAATTTGGTCCAACAATTAATCAATCGATCATTTGACCGAAGCCGAGCGAGCGACGACGACGGCGCGAGACTTCCCTTCTTCTCAACTCTTTATGAGCTAGAAGAAGAGCAATTGCTTATCTACCCATCAAAAACTTTTTCCTCTTCCCATATGGGACAATCAAGGAGGGAAACTCAAATATTACTCAAATATTTCATTTTTCCCTCCATTTCCCATTCACCCTATTTTAAGCATTAATAGCTTAAAAACCCCAACACTCTGAAGGCATCCATACTAGGAATAAAGCATAGCCAAACGACTACATGACCATTGTATGTCCAAAGTGAGCATCCCATGCTGCAAAGTTGCACAATCCAAACTGAGATTGAGCACTTCAATTCCACATGAATATGAATCTTCAATTGGCACCTGGAACTTGCATTCAACCATGATATAGCCCAGAAGTAAGCAAAACCATACGCAATCAAGTGCATTCTCAAAGTCCAGCTAAATGTCACCTTAGTGAACTTGTGGCTTTGCTCCTTTAATTCGTGATTGTGCCTGTTAGATATGGGTAAAAACCAACTGAATGTACCTTCCTCATCTCTGATACATGTAGCCTGTGCCTGCCAGTTCCTCCAAATAATCGTCGAGCAGCCCGCAAATTGCTTCAAAATCCCGTGCCCAAATTGGACGGTGTATGTCTCATGCGTGTTGCTTTGAGCATTGTGCATTCCCAACTAGTGGTATTACCTATTTGTAGAGCCTCCGGGACGCTTATGGTGCTTAGGCAATCGCACCATAAAAGGTATAGCAATTCATCAATACCAAACTGGTACCCTATGCTAGTGTGCCTATTTGGTCTGTTTTTGTGAGGCTTATTCTGCATCTTGTTTTGTATTTGTTTTAGCTGGACTATGTAGTGGTTTCACCTACAGGGGATAACCATCAAAGATGCTAATACCACCCTAATAAGCTTGGCCACAACATAGAATCTAGCTTCATCGAAAGTACCAGTAAAACAAGAAACTAGGTTAGTAGAAAATGCCTTCAAACTCTCCTCCAGAAGGATTTGAGCAGAAAGTGAAGTGTATTCTCCAATGCTTGTGACCATCTCCTCTTCTCCAGTACACCCATTTTCCTTCCCCTCACTATCGTGCTTCCCCATATCATCTTATTTGCTTCACAATACATAATCATCTAGTGTTTGGCTTTGCTGTTCTTACCCTAATATATGGTATTTGTAGCTTGTCACTGTTCAAAATCTTCCTTCCTTGAGTATCTAACCCCTCAAATGAATTCACCTGAACCATGGCATGTTGTTCTATAGTCTGATTGGCAAGGTGATCTGCCAGTTTATTCCCTTCTCTCATCACATGTACTATTTGGAATACACCTCTAGCCAATAGTGTTTTGATCTCCTCCACCTGATTGATAATGCTCCATGGTGGTTCCCAAACATCCTCCAGCACATTTCTCATCAATAATGAGTCTGTTTCAATAAAACAAGGAGGAAATTGGGCATGAACTATATACCTTAGTGCCTCCAGAATTGCCTGAGCTTCTACTATGTTATTGGTAGCATCTTCAAGTTCATCTGCATGTGCATATATAAGATCTTTGTACGCGGTAAAATCAGAAGACTTGATTTTTTGCTATCGAGACATTTTTGGAAGCCTTCCCCGAGACCCCGAGGGTGGAAGGCCACGATCGAGTTCTCGGCCTCAGGGCTCATCGAGGTCCGAATCGAAGGAAGCAGGGCCCGAGGTTAGGACAAGAGAGGAGGTCTCCTAAACACATGGCTACACCTGACAGGACCGGTCTATCTATAGCCTACTGAGAGGACTTGCGTCAGGCCGTCCCATCTTTCTACTCTTGTAAATAATATATACGTACTTTACCGAGTCCCCTCGCCGATATAAGGGGGACTCACCCCACCTTGTAAGGGGCTGATGTTGCTCCACTTCTCCATAATGCAATAATATCTCTCTCTCTTTCCTTCTTCTAAGTTATTAGTGTTCATCGACCCCGAGGTCGCCTTAGCATTTTGTAGTTTCTTCGTTTGTTCTCCATCATTTTGCTTGAAATTGATAGTATAAGAGCCTTAGTTATTTATAACTTTATCGGTTACCCCCTTTTCGACTACCCTCGATAAGCCCGAGATAGGCTCGAGGCCTGGCCCCGAGGTATCTAGTGGCTTGCTCTACGCCCGGGAACGTCCCCTTGCTGGTTCAATTATCGCTTTGGCTAACTCGATCTTTATTGTCTTACTTCACGTTTTATCACTAATCACCCTTACAAACTAGCTCGGGAATAGATCACGTATTTTTAGAATCCTATTTACAAATTTAATTGTTGTTACCATTTTCACGGTAAACAGTTTGGCGCCCACCGTGGGGCTAAAAATAATAATGATTATTTTCTTGCTAGTTTCGTCACTTAAACGCACGATATCTTTCATACTTTTTCTTACCCAAGATCTTTTGATTTCAGGTTAATGATCAGGTCGATAAGGGAAACCGAGGACGATAACCCCAAAAATCGCAAAGAAAACAATATGGCCGTCCTAACGGCTGGCGCGACACCGCAGGACCTCGATAACGCATCTAGATCGGTTCGAGCGGAAGCGGATTCGTACGCTGCACAGCGGGGTAACGAAGTCTTGCACTCCAATGGCGGCGCGCAACGCACTAACCAACAGGAAGCCCGAAAAATCCCAGCCCCGGTAGAACGGGAAGTTAATCTTCGCATTATTTTTGAAATGTTGCAGGAACAGCATTTGGCTATCTCTCAGCTACAGAGCCGCCCGGAGACTCTCGGCGCGGCAACACCCAAAATGTCTCATCGCTCTGAGCCAGTACCCGAGGTATCGGGCAACGACGAACCAACAACCTATCCTGTAACAGTGAGGATGCTGGAAGACATTATCGTAAAGATCGACTCACGCTTGCGGAGACTCCTACAGCAACCCTCTCCCGCAGATACGATCTCGGGACTCATTTCGCGGAAGTCAGAAACAACGAAATTCTCTAGGAGTGACAGGACCCCAAGTCCTCACAGGTGCGTCACCACTCACGCACGCCCGTCCAGGAACGGCGACCTCCAAAATGGAGAACTCGGGCCCGTCCCGGTGAGGAGATTTGAAGAAATTCCCCCGGAAGAAACCACAACACGGCATCATTGTTCGACATCTAATCTCGGGGACCCGCTCACCGTACTAGCGCGATCCGTGGAAGCATACGCCAACACCATCAAAATAATACCAGAAGGGCCCAGTACACCGGAGGCCGAAAGAAGAAGAAATAAAGTATCACGGGAAGTCGCACTCCGGTTCCCGACAGGGCAAGCCAGACCGCTCTCAGTCCCGAATAGTGGGATGGCACGGACCTTCGCCCTAAACCCGAACAAAGCATACCCGGCGACTCCAGAGCAGTTCAAGCGAAGCTTAGTCGAATATCCAATCGAGGCCTGGTCATATACCAGCAACCAACACCGGACCCAAGTCAGAGCCGTGGACAACCCTCGAAAAACCTCCTCGGGATCGGCGTATCCAGGCAAAGTCCCAACAGAGAAGCCGGCACTGATTGAATGGAGCCATCATCCACACAACACGAACGGAAGAGACGATCCGAGGTACGGCGCATCTCGCAACAACAAGGCAGTAGCCCGAAGACGACACCTTCGAGGAACCTCCAATGGTAACAGATTCAACGAAGACGTAACCGACAAGGAAACCTCGCCCGATAGAGCTCAACTTCAACATTGAAGTTCCAAGCATATGGGTCACCATAAGTGAAGCCGGGAACTCCGGGTGGCTCGGATCTATTCAACCAAAACCCCTCCAAGGAAACCGTGGCCCACCACGAGAATCACGAAATGCTCGGAGTTACATACCCAAAAGAGCAGCAACTACGCCATCCAACAAAGGTAACCACAAAGCATCGCCAAGCA